TGGTAACATGATTTCTTCTGATCATTTCGAACAAAATGGTGGGAATGTGTTCCTCTTGCCTCTAGAGTACTAAATATACTTGTCTGAAGTGCATGAACCACTTTTGTATGCATTGTTCTGTATTTGAAAATGATGAGGATGTACCAGGATGGAAAGTAGGCAGTTCAGTGGCGTACTGTGAATCATGTTTTGAAGAGAAAATGACAAAAGAAATGAATTATGAGGAAGATTTGCAGAAGCAAGCCAGCGGATCAAAAATTCAAGGAGCAGGTTTGTCTGCAAAAACGGACCCTCTAAAAAGGTATGTATTTAGAGTGTTGTTATAAGCTGCATTTGATCTCACTGTAAACAAGTTACAAACTCAAATTAAATTTGCTCCTTGCATTACTTTTAGATGACAGCAAAGGCTTGTCATAGATCGGACCTGTCAGTCCCAACCTTTATTTTCTATGTATTGAAAGATATTTTTGTTGGAAAAACATCTGATTTATTAATATCATTAGTTGTATAATTTTCTCTGCTGAGATCATACCTGTTCATCAATTTGATATACCAAATTCTTTGGTCTGTTTTCACATCAGTTACAGCTGGCTGTACTCTGGCTGATAAAACTAATATCCAGGTTTGCATGTTTGTCCTATAGCAAAAGACATCTTGACCAAAAGCATGATGAGGATTTTGAAATTGAAGATGATGATGATGAAGAAGAGAGAGATGAAGATGTGGAATTCGCTCTGGCACATTTTCTAACGAAAGGGAAGGGGAAGAGCAGCAAAATACCTGAGCAAAAACCTTGATGGTGTCCAAAAAGTCTAGATGATTTTGTTGACATCGTTTTTAGCAGCAATGAGTTTAAGAACAAACTGATTTTTACTAATACCAAGAATCAGAGAAATGGCCCAATCTATGCCAAAATCTTGGATGAGTTGAAAGAGAGGGTATCAGCTAGAGGTGACAAGTTCACAGTGACAGTCAACCAAATGAGAACCAAATTCAAGAAGTGTGTCAGCCAGTGTAAACAAGCTACCCTGACCCAAAAGACAGCAACAGGGATAAAGAGGTACCAAGAAGACCGTGGATTTGGCAAGTGGTTCAATGCCTTGTTTGACGTGGTGAAAACAAGGGACTCATGCCAACCAAAATGGGCTTTAGAGCCATCAACATCCTCATCATCACCTCCATGTACCCCTGAAAGTTCTCTTTATGACCCTAACAATGTTGATGACTAAGTTGAGATGTTTGTTCCCAAAAGATCTGCGAAGAAAGGGAAATCTAATAAAAATAAATTTGATATTAACCAGGAAGTAATACAACTCATCCAAGAAGCTGTAAGAAACGACCCCACTAAATAAATGATCAGCTTCCTAAGGGATGAAATGGAAAAGTCCTGTGAGCATGAGTTGAAGTTATTTCAACTCATGCTTGGCAACAGAGCCAATTCAGGCATGCCTTCATCATTCAGTATGGAAACAGGGTTTTACCCATCATGGAATCAGGGTATCATGACACAGGGTTTTACCCATCAATGCCAAGTTCTCTAGGAGCACAGCAGACCACCAAGGAAAGGATGTCTGAAGGTTCTTATGGGAACCCTCTCCTTTATGGTAATGGAAATACCAAACATTGTAAGTTATGTAGAACTAAAAGTATATTCATATATACTTCAACATCAGTCCTTCACACATGGCCAGTTATTATTTGCAAAATCACTGACATACCCAAATGGGAAAACACACCAGTGCAAAACAAAACCAGAAGAGCCATAATTGAAAGATCTTAACACTGGAAATTTGTTTTTTGGAAGAATAGGGTTTAATGTTCAAAACTCGGATTTTCAGCCATTTTTAAATGAAAATAGTTGGATGTGGAGTGGAAATGTGCTAAGACAGCTGTTGAAAAGGACTCTCTAATATAGTGTAATAGTTTGTTATTGCAACCTTGTGTGGACAACATGAACAGAAAATGTTTCAGGGCACATGTGTCTTAAAAAAAGAGTTAATTTTTGTTATTATAGTTTAGACAAGTGAATCATGAAAAAAATAATTGCCAAAAAGAAAAATTATATCGGATGAATTTTTTACATACAATTTAAACTTATGATAGAAATGATCTGTTTAGGTATATATATGCGTCTATAAAAATAATTATTTGCACATTGTTTGTTAGTACTACCAAAGTTCTGTTATTTTTGTTCCAGTTAAATATGTTGAGGATTGATGATTACAAGAAGTATTTTTAATATATCTTCTATTACTCAATTACATCATAATACATTGCAATCAGAGGATTTATTCATTGAAATGCAATTAACCCTTCAAGCCTGATTACCATACTGTATGTGCAAATTCTCCTTCCTGGTCTCTTTATGTTTCCTTTAGTACTAGTTGGGGGAATTTGTTAACAAAGTTCAAGGCAGTGTCTATTTGGTGATACCTTCCTTAATTCCCACAACTTTTCCTATGACTATGCTGATACTATGAAGAGAAATTTAATCTTGATCAATCTTGGAGCTTAAAGGGTTTTAAGTAACAAAACTTTATTCACAACTTTTAGCTTGGTCAGATTGAAGGTTGTGTCAAGTGCACAATCCATATTCATCTTGCACTTGATAAAATCATATGGAAATTATTTGGTGAAAATACAGATGATTTAAATTAACAGACTTAGTAAGTTTCCTTCTCAAGCCATAGTTTTTCACATAGTGCATTCTGGACTTTATTTGCCTTCACTGAGACATCCCTGATGCTTGAGCAATTTCTCATCTGCAACAGCTTTCTTATTTCCTCTCGATTCTCTTTTGACCATTTGCATCCAAACTCAAGTCAAGCTTTTTAGAAATTGCATCTCCTTGTGCAATACATGTATTATGGAGAACCATGCATGCCCAAAAGCACCCTGACTGTAACCATAAGGGCTCTGCTTAAGTGGTAATTAAAGTTCCGTTGCTGGGGTGCCAGAACTGCATTGGTGTATGGTTTTGTCAACCATGTGTGCAGAGGGAATGCAGAGTCTCCCACTATAAGTGGTGGGACAGTAACATTGCCTACAGTTTTTCCAATTACAGGAAGGAAGCCTTCTTTGATGCGGGTCCAAAGGTCAGTTGATCTAAATATGACTGCATCATAAGAATTTCCTGGAAACCCATAGCTGCCCCACACAAATCTGTAATGTGAATCTACCACATTAACTCAAGTCAAGCTTTTTTGAAATTGAGTAGAAATTCTTAAAATTATGGTACTCTTTGCATGCCTGTAGTCCTCCAGATGGGCATTTCATGGGAATATGACAACCATCTATTGCTGTCCAGCAGCAAGGAAATTGCCAAAATTCTTCAATGTTGAGAATTTTTTGTTTGAACTCCTCTCCTGTCTGAGGCATGTGAGTTGACACAGTCTCATTCCATAAATGGTTCACCAGGACTTGACAGACTTCCTGACAGATTGAGGAGACAGTGGAGATACCTAGTCCAGACATTTCTGAAATGGTATAGAGATGATCTCCTCTGCCTAGTCTGTACATCTGTACAGACAAATAGCAAGCCTCAGTGCTACATTATTGGTTCTTCTGTAACAGTTTGCCGAGTTTGCAAGAAAAACAAGCTCTTCATTTCCACAATTTGCCTTTCCCGCAATTTTTCCTGCCATTTTTAAGCAATAATTGCTGACTACACGTGTCATATTCACTTTTGCAATTAAGTTTGACCCAATTGGGTTTGACGTTTGAATCAACTGCCGAACTCAATTATTTGGGTCAACCCAAAGTGGTATTAGGTTCAGCGCATGTAAAGTTCGATGTTTGAACTGGGTCTCAGTTGCTTCTTGTAAAGTATGGATGGTTGGTTGGTTGCATGTGCACTTTCATTAATGCTAAAACCAGCAAAAATTAGTTTCACTTGGTTTAAATAAAAGCCCAAGCTATGATTTGACAACATTTTCACCATAACTCAATGTCTACCATGGAAATGACCATGTTTACCCTAGACTCTTTTCTAATCCGTTAAAGAATGACTATGTGACATGAGGTAACACTTCACCATTACTGTAGTTAATTCAGAATTCAGCGTTTTATGTTCCTTAAAATTATTCTCCATTCACACCAGCAAAACATGTTAAGTGAAACCAGGTTCAACTGAGTGAAAATCAAATAAAAAACAAACAACTGAAAAACTCAATTTCCATAGGATTCAAGTAATTACAAACTTGTATCTTCAATGAGCTACATTGGAACTTAAAAAAACATTGTACTGTTGAGGAAGCTTCTAGGAACAAAACATTTTAAACCAGAAAACAGCAAAAAGACATTTTTAAGTTTTGTTGTGAGTGGTGTGTAACACCTAGGCAAATTGTTCAGCCCCACCCTCTATTGATTCATTAGTATCCTGCTGTGATTTCTCTTAGTATTTAGTATTGGCCTGGTTAGAATTAAGCTATAGGAACTTTCCTTTCTTTTGTTTTTCTTGATTTTCCTCCTAGCTGCTATATAGACAATTGCTGGTTTCATTTTGTATGAAATCTTAATAGAACCCTTGTAGCAAAGTACAAGTATTGGGTTTGAAAATTGGGAAATATCATTTGGGGTGTATCCTTGGATATTCCCCTGTTTTAGTGAGGGAATATTTGGTAATGTGATGCTTTTAGACCATGATGGATTATTGTGGTTGATATATTGTAATCCATCAAATACATTTGCTTGAATGTAATTGTCAACTAAATGCATGGTGGGACCTATCATACTGCCCAGATAAAACTGGGAAATATATAGAAAACAGCCTCCATTTGGCATGCAAATATGCATGCTTAGTTTTCAGTGGAAATTATCAGTTCTGAGATGTAACCAGTTTTCTGCAAGCAAAGGAACACATAATTACCATAGACAAATTAATGGAGGCTATCGCGTTTATTATTTTTTAAATGTTTCTGCAATATGCAGGCAAAATGTTTACAAACAGCTTACAGTTTGCTTTGTGGGATGTTTATTTTTTAGAGTTCTCCAGCATGACTTTATGAACAAAACAATTGACATGTCCCTTCTTCTGTAACAAAAGCTAAATGCTCTTTCATCTTGAATTAAATTGCACAAATGCAAATTAGGTCAAGCTCTGGAAGTTATGTACTGCTGGCCTTTCAGGACCCATACCCCATAATAACTGAATGTTAAATATTATAGGTAACATCTCTTTAACCACAAATCTTCCCATTTTTAAATCCTTACTAGCCAGAATTTTCTCTACCCCAGATCTTGAAAAAGGACCACCCCATCCTTATATGGGTGTTGAAAATGCAACCTCATTATAGTTAATCCAGTCTTGAAAAATATGACGCATCCATTGGCATATCCTCGTTAGCAAATTACTGAGATGTAACCCCTTGCAAAGATCATTTATTTATAAAAAATTACAGTGATCACATTAATTCCATTTCTTTCAAAACTAGAATTACCCTTTACCACACACCCTGACAAGTTGTGAAAACAGGTTTTGCCTTCACAAATGAACGGACGGACGGG